TGGAATTCTAGGGCTACAGTCTCCTTTTCTTAGTTAGACCAGATGAGACCTCAGGCATGTCGGATTCTGGGTACTGCTGCAACCATGCTTCTCCCTCTTAGCCACTATTTTAAACATCTCACTGAGTATAGGAATTAATTTGCCTCTCGCATTAATTTATGTCACGTGCCATTTATTCTGATGACTCAGCTTGATTGGTTAGCCTCTTTCAAGTTGCTGATTTGGCCCATTTGTCCTATGATTTTGTCATCATCAGTTTATAAACTCCTCCTGTTGCTTCACAGTTCAGCGGGGCAACTACTGTTCCTCTGTCCTTATGCAGTGTAGGCGCTCAAGCTTTGTGCTCCTTGGGCAGTAATGTTGGTCATTCCAGAACAAGTCTTCAGGCTTGCAGGGATCCCTTGGAATCATAGGTGTCCAGCTGGGTGTCTGCTGGGTCTAGGGGTGTCATGGTGTCTTGTGTCTGGTGTCCAGGGATAGTGCTGCAGTACCTCATGTCCTGTGGTGAGGGCTAGTAGCCAGCAGAAAAGGGTTCTGACGATCAGGCACCCCACTCCGCATCTTCCCTGGAGGGATGTTCTCCATGGCAGCGCTGGGTACGGTTTCATGCACTGTCACCCCCAACCAGCAACCCCTCTGGGGATCTGGATCACAACTGGGTTACCATTTGCCTCCTTTCATCCCCGAATCACCAGCTGGTTATTCTCTTGCCTCTTTGACAGAAGGACCAATTACACTTTTCTATTCTTCAGAAAAATATCTTTAGAATAATAACTTTCTGATGTCATTGTGTTAGAATAATAACTTTTTGATGTCACTGTGTGCTGGGGTTTTTTTCCATTTTTATTGTAAAATATACATAAATGCCAAAGAATATACATATATATATATGTATAGCATACATGTAGTTTAAAGATCAGTAATAAAACAATTGGCCATGTACCTACAACCTAACTTAAGCAAGAACTCTTTTTCTAAATAAAGCTATTTTGTGATTCTCAGTGGATTCTCCCACTCCCTTTCCTGAGGCTGTGGGTCTGAGGTGGGTGGTATGTGTGGCCTTAGTGACTCTGAAGGCACTTTCTAGTCATTCTTTCTGGAAAAAGAGAAAAGTACAAATAGAGTGTGTAGAGGGCACCCTGAGCTGTTTGCAAGCAGAAGTTCCGACTGTTACGCTTAGTGGTTGGTGTGGCTGTGTGGGTCGCTGTTGGTTTCTCCTGGCAGGTGCTCCCTGGCCCCCTGCTCACCTACATGGCCCGTTTGTGTGAATGAGGAAAAGGCCTTCTTGCTATTTGCCAGACATTTTCTGTAGTAACTCTATGTACAAACATTTATCATGACTGTGAATGTGACTAGCGGCTCCTGGAGTTTACAGGCCACAGCCTTAACCCACAGTAAACACAGAAGCGGTCACAGGGCCCTCTGGTGGGCTGCATCAGATGTACACTGAATGCCTGCTCAGACCAGACCCCTGCTCTCATGGATCCCCCATGACTGGACTTGGGAGCAAGGCGTTTTTTGGGTGTGTGAGCTGGGAGTCAGCTAACAAGCTGGAATCGTTCTTGAGCTGGGTCAGGGCCCTACGGTTACTAGCAGAAGTGGGCCCAGGATTTACCTTATTTTTAGCATGTTGCCAACGCCAAGTAAACCCTGAGAGGCCATGTTGTACCAAGCTGATGACTCCACAGCTCAGGGGGGATTCTAAATGCAGGGTGCCCGTAGTCCTGGACAGTCCTGGGTCAAGTCTCTTGTTGATGTGATTGTTGATACCGCCTCTTTTCCCTCTTAAAAGTATCTTAGTCTTGGACAATAAATTATATGGTCATGTTTATTAGTCAACTTTTTGCCGTGGTGACAACCGCCTTTGAGACCCTAGTGACTTAAATAAAAATCAACTATTTACGTTTTGCTCATGGATCTGTGGATCAGTTTCTGCCCTGCCCCAGTCCGTGTGTCAGGACTCATTCTGGACTTTGGGCCTATGCCACAAGTCTTCCTTTATGGCACGCAGGCTGAAATATCAGCCCAGTTAAGACCTCTTCTTCTCACAGCAGAAGGTGGGAGCCCAAGAGTCCTCTGGTCCAAGGTGGCATGGGCCACATCTACTCATATTTCATTGACCAGAGCAAGTCACGTGGCCAAGACCAACATCAGGGGGTTTGGATTTATGCTCCTTCCTTGGAGGGGGCACTATGGTGTGGAAGAGTGAATATTTGGTAAATAATAATATGTAATTATCACGTCACACTCCTGAACCTTACTGCCTTCTGCTGTATGCCTCCTCCAGCCTATGCTATTGTCCTAGGGGTGTCTGTGTCAGGACAGTGCTGAAGTGATTAACAGGATGTAGGGAGGGGGTTTTGCCTCTGTTTGGATTACGGAACGTATTAAGGGGTTTCGCTGTGTTGTGGCGCTCTCGTTGGAGGAGGTGGGGGCCGATGTTTGCTGTGGCAGCCTGATTAACTGGGAGGGGCCTCCCGCTTCCCTGTGCCCCCAGTACTACCACCTGTCATGGAAGTTTTCACCGACAAATTTTCCATCCTGCTCTGTGAGCTCTCAGAACCACGTGGAGCCTGTGGCCAAACCGTGCTGTCCTCCCCCTCAAGTTGGGGCTCCATGAGGTGTGATTTCTGGGGCCCTGTACTTTGCCCCCACTGACTCTGTTCCTTGTCCCCCATCCCTGCCCTTTTTGCTCTGCACTTGAGATAGTTAATTTTTATTTTTCCCTCAGTGTCCCTTCATTTGCCTGTGTTAAGTGTTCAGCCCTGATTGGCTTTTCCTTTAAAACAATCCCAGAAATTCCTCCGCATCACTCGTTCACCGATGGATAGAAGGTACCTGGACTTGCTTTCCGTAGTCACATAGCTTGCATATCCCATTTCAGTGATATTTAAGGAGAGAAATGAGATAAGCAAAGATTTTGAGCTCAGTTACCCATGCTGAAGCTGGAACCCCCATGTTTCCAAACAGAAACATAATATTGTTTCGCCACAAGGGCAAAGATTGACTGGGAGGCATAGAGGAGATACGGTAGATCCATCACCAGCCCTGGCAGCTGGCTTTCTGTCAAGAGCAATTTCTCATGAAGAAATTGTTTTATCATGTCATAAGAATGATCAAGTACCTTCAGAGTCATGTTGAAAAGCACACGGACAGTAGGGGGTCAGCTTGACTCCGTAGGTAAGGGACTTGCGGGACTGGTTCACGTGCATAGGCCTCAGCAGAGGCGCAACCTGCCTCATGTCATGGATTGTCGGTGTGCTGTGGATCTTTGAAATTGTGGCTATTAGGTAACTGAGTCCTCATTTTCTCCTTCACTAGAATATGAGTCTGTGAAGGTAGGAATGTGTCTATCACGTTCTCCATGTGTCTCCAAAGCCTGGCACAGTCCCTGGCATGTAATGGACAGCCAGAAAACTTTGGCTGAAGCAATACAAGTATTAATGATGGACAGTAAAGGCAGAACCTGGGGAGAATCCTTGGGGCTCCAGGATGTAATGGAGCCCATCAAGGGCAGTTAGGGGTGTCCTTTAAAGGGAGGAGTTTGTAGCACCACAGTGCCAGGAATGAGTTCAGGTCGATGCCTCAGCTTCCCTGGCTCTACTGTAGGGTGGTGGAAGCCTCAAGAGGGTTGGGCTTTGTTCTGAGAGTTGGGTGCACAGCCCCTGGACACTGCACTGCCATGGACCCTAGCTGAGGCCATGGGGCTGCGGTCCACGTGGCAGATGTTGTTGCCCCCACCAAAACCCCACTCCGTTAACGCTTGAGCACGTGCCTGCTGACCTCCAAGGCCAGCCCTGCATTTATTTGAAATGTGGGAATTTTCTGGCCACAGAAACTTACTTTGCCACCCATGCTGCAGGTTAGAAATGCCCCTTGAGAGCTGCCCTCAAATCAATGACTGAAGGGGTTGATGTTATAAATAACCCAGTCCCCTGGTCTCTAGCGTGTGGACCCTCCCTAGCAGCTTAACCTCTGGCCTCCCACTGTGGTAACTGGCTTGATAAAGCCCCCCTTACTGGCTGCTTTCTTACTCCCCTGGATCACTTCCCTACTCTCCTACCTGGATCACTTCCCTACTTCCCTACATGTGTTTTCTTCACCTTCTAAATAAACCTCTTGCCCTTGAATACTTGTCTCAGTTCTGCTACTGGGCAAACCCAAACTATGACCATCGTCCCCGGGTCCTGGGCACCTGACCACCAGGTGGTGGGTATTCTTGAGGGTTTGGGAGGACTTGAGCTTCATTTTGCTTAGACCGTTGAAAGTTCCTATCAAAAAGAGGGGGGGAAAAAAGCACTCTGATTTCTCTTGTTTTAAAAAGATGTTACTTGGGCTTCCCTGGTGGCGCATTGGTTGGGAGTCCGCCTGCCGATGCGGGGTACGTGGGTTCGTGCCCTGGTCCGGGAAGATCGCACATGCCGCGGAGCGGCTGGGCCCATAAGCCGTGGCCGCTGAGCCTGCACGTCCGGAGCCTGTGCTCCGAAACGGGAGAGGCCACAACAGTGAGAGGCCCGCGTACCGCAAAAAAAAAAAAAAAAAAAAAATATATATATATATATATATATATATATGTTACTTAAACAATTCCCAAATTTATATTATACTGCTCTCTGAGATGACAGAGGAATTTTTAAGCACAGTTGAAGCTATCCTGCTCCCGGAATATCAATGATTTGCATTGCCGAGGGCCAGGGTCTCAGTTGACTTGCAGGGCATTCCTGGTCCCCTGAACGCACCCTGTCTCTTGCTATTGCAGGCTGTTTGTTTCTAAACATGCCTGAGTGTTACATCCTCTGCGCTCGTACCTGAGTCCTCATTGCCCCTGCGTCCTCATTGCCCCTGCCTCAGAGTCGGGAGACCCAGCAGCATGCCCAGCCTGGCCTTCTGCCATCACTCCTGACGGATGCATGGATGAGAGGGTCTTTCTGCCCGCACCGTGCAGCGGGTGGGCACGGGAGGAGCAATCCCACTGACCTTTGATCTTTGCTTCTTTGCAGATATCTCAGTGAGCCTGCTGACCCTTGTGGTCACTGCCTGTGGCCTCGCCCTCTTTGGCGTGTCTCTCTTCGTGTCTTGGAAACTCTGCTGGGTTCCGTGGCGAGAACGAGGCCTGTTCTCTGGTAGCAAAGACAACAACCAGGAGCCTCTTAACTACATGGACACAGAGACCAACGAGCAGGAGAACAGTGAGGGCTTCCTAGACCCTCCCACCCCTTGTCCAGACTCCTCCATGAAGATCAGCCACACCTCCCCTGACATTCCCCTCTCGACCCAGACAGGGGACCGGGAGAACTGTGCCCATGGCGTCCGTGTACAGCGCCAAGTCACAGAGCCAACAACCTCATCAGCTCGGTCAGTAATGCCCCCTTCCTTTCTGGATGCAAGGCGAGCACCACCCTGTTCCCTTCTCTTGGCAGCAGTAGCATTGACTAGCCGAGGAGCCTGTAACCTGTCACATGTCCATTAGGTATCAGAGACATGAATATGGGAAAGCTTGATGCTTCCTATATTCCTGTTAGGTCCCTGAGCTCTGCTTAGTCTGTACTTAGTTCATAACAACAATAGTTAACATTGCTAAGGTTTACCATGTCAAGGACTATCTAAGCGCTTCATGTGTATTATTTTATTATCCCTCACAACTTTGTGTGAGATGGATCTTATTATCGTTTTCATCTCACAGAAGAAGAAACTTCTCCTGTGAGATGAAGTCAGGGAGATTAAGAAACAAAGTCATATATTGGTAAGCACCCAGGTCAGGGTTTGAACCCCGGTTCAAACAACACCAGAGCCCAAGTTTTTACCCACTCTTCCGTGCTGCTCTCATAGTGCTATGGAGTTGATTCTCCGTGCCTCTGACCTAGCCTAGCGGTCACACACAGGCTCTCTGTAGAGTCCACACACTGGCTGGGGGTCTTCGTCCATCTCCAGGCTTTGCAAGGTCTCCAGAGCACCCAGGCCCATTGTCACTCTCTTTCCATGGGCTGGATGCTCTGTGCCCTTGCGCAGTAGAGAAATAATATAGTGCAGTGATTAAAAAGCAAGGGCTCTGGGGTCCAATGAACTAGCTTTACCTACAAGTATGATATTGGACACGTTATTTAGCCTTCGCCTGTTTCTGTTTCGTCTCGTGAGAGGGGAACGGTGATAGGTGGTTTTGAGAATGAGGTGGTAACATGTGCACCACATGTGCTCTGCCCAGGCCTGCATCTAGCACCGGCTCCACACCCTGAGCTGCCATTTTGTTTTCAGTGCTGCTATCATCATCGTCGTCGAGACCTGCCTCTCCCAAGGCTCAGACGCACACAGGTGGCTTTGAGGCTAAGCAGCCAGTTCTGAATCACTGTATATAAAAATTCACTCTCAATAAGAGACCTCAGGAAAAGAGACCCAGAAAGCAGCTTTCTTTAAAATGAAAATATTTGCTTGAGTGATAGCTGGAGGAACAGCATATGCTGTTATTTGGAAAGTACAAGCACAGTTTGGGGTTTTTTTTTTTTTTTTTTTTTTACATCTTTTTTATTTGTTCTCTAGAAACAGAAATAAGATTTTACCCTTTTTTATGTTAATCAAGTTTATCCTAGAGGCTCTGCTCATTCACATTAAGTAGGATGGAATATGACAGTTTATAATTTAATTTTTTCAGAAAGCGTTTTTAGCATCATTTCCACTTCTGAATTAGAGAGCTTTACCTAAAATATTCCTCCGTGAGGAAATGGATGGTTGTTTGCCATTTGATTTAGAAGAAATCCTCAGATTTTATCATTAGGATTTCTCTTCAGATTTAAGACTTAAATATAACTGGAGCTCTGCCTGATGCTGCCGTGGAGTTTGTGCAGTGGTGCAAACTCACGATAAAATCCTTTCAGTACTTCAGTAAGTGGGCCTTCAGATGGGGTCTCCATTGAAATTGTCTCCTATCTGGTTTGACTCTGCATGTTCATTTTTCTGATCTGGGTTCCATCAATACAGAGTGATAGTACTGTGTTCTTATTAGATTATAGGTCTGAGGACTCTGCCATAATTCTAATGAATTGATGGCAATCATATCACTATAATTATTACAATGTTTATCCTAGGAAAATGTATAAGTAACCTGCATATCAAAAAATAGATTTCATGTAAAGCTAAAAACTGTAGATATCTTCACCACTGATTTGTAGAAACTGGGTAGAAGGAAAAAGAAAACTAAAAAGAGAGAGGGAAGGAATTATCCCTGTAAAATGCATTTTACATTTAGACTTATTCTAGTTTTGGAGTCGTGCGATTAAATTTTCTCTTCTGATGGCCAAAACCAAGTTTGGTAATATTTGACTACCATAAGAAAACTAAACTCTTTCCAGCTGCATTTGACCTAATACTGATAATTTGCATCATTTCGCATTTCAGACATTCTTATCTAAATTACTGCTGACCTAGTTTTATGGGTTATGTCTGGAAATACACGTCTTTGACTCATGGTCTTTCCATAATAAGAAGGGTGTGGTCTTCTAATTCTTTAGGGTTGTGCTATAAACACACACACACACACAAAGCCTTTTTACTGACAGAGCGGGTAAAATGAATGAAATTTCCTTGGTGCTCCAGAACATTTTTAACATTCTTTTTTAAGTAGCATTTTTCATACCATATTTGGGGAAAGGGAGGGTACTCTTTGCTGAGATGGCTCTAAACAGTCTGCTCTGCTAGTTATTATTTCTATTCCCTTCTTTCTCATTATGATCTTTACTTTCTCACTGCTGTCACTTTCTTTCTTACTGCTTCCCTCCTGCAGCTGTTATCACTTGTCCCAAAGTTCCCTGGGCACCTGCTCAGCCCAGAGCATACAAAGCTTAGACTCCCAGTTAAGGCCTCCCCGCTGTCATGGCGATTGGCACAGCTTCAGCCATGGCATTTGCATCGGAAGTCCCACTGTCATCTGGCCTCTTCAGCTTGGATATGTGTGGCTCCTACCACCGCCTTTTGGAATGTCCTAAAGATGAGCTTTGCTCCATCTTCTAAGAATGTTTCTGGTCAGGATGACTTTCTTTTGTTCTTCCAAGATCAAGCATGTTTGCATTCTGTTTCTGGTTAGCTCAGTTACTATTAGAATCCTCCAAAATTCCTGTTAATTCCTTTCAATTTGGATGAGATCCCTTTTGTATAATGAATGACCTAATATCCTGGGAATGTGGATTTTTTTTTTAGAACTTTTCAATACCAGAACATTTTAGAGGTCTCCAAATATATGAGAGGACTCCAAATATATGAAAATCCCTGGATCCTCAAAATAGAAGGAACCTTGAAAGGCCATCTAATCCATTTCCTGATTCATGTCCCAAAATGAAAGTTCAATCTGGTTTTTTTTTTTTTTAAGTCTTCTCACATTTCCTTTAAAATACTTTATAAAAATTTCAATTTCCACACCACAAACTCCTTATCAGGTCTGTTAAGGCCTGTGTAATACTGCCACAGTCTGCTTCTGTCAGGTCTCGGCCTCACCTCCCAGCCAGGCCACCATGTGGCACAAACCCAGAGGACCTTGTTTAACATGGACTCAGTTAAGAGGCCTTATCCGGAAAAGCTCATCACATTCCATCTACTCTAGCTTCTCTCTTGGTTCCTTCAGTATCCCTGACTTTTCCTGCCTTGGTACCTTCACACATGCTGTTCCCTCAGCCTGGAATGCTTTTCCTTTTCCTTCGCCATGCCAGGCTCCTTTGCAGCCTTAATGTCCCTGCTAAAGTGTCACCTCCTCAGAAAGGTCTCCCTCACCACCCTATCTGAAGTGTGTGTTCTTTCCTCCACTCCCCCCCACTCTTTATTTTCCCACAAGTTGCCTTACTTTCACTTCTTCACAGGATTAAAATCTACTTCTAACTCTACGATTGTTTGTTTATTGCCTATACCCCCCTCTAGACTATGAGTTCTGTGAGTTCAAAGACCATATCTGCTCTGCTTCTCCCTGTATATCTAACCCCTAGTGCAGCCTCTGGCACATAGTGGAATTTTTCATGAACGACTGACAGAGTACATTCGTCAATATCAGGCCACTTTCCTCGTGTTCTGCTGACAAAAATGGCAAAGCGCAGAAGTATAAACTGAGTAGAGCGTGTAATGGTGTGAAGCCAATGGAAGGTCACTTGTCCCAGCCCTCACATTCATCAGAGCCTTACATTTAGACTTTTGAGCTTGTCTCTGAATTAAACAATCCTTAGAGTCACAGAAATACTCGGAGAGAATTGAAAGAAGAAGACAATTTGAGTCTTCTAAATTTGAGTCCCATTACTGGCCGCAACTCCAGTAAGTGGCCCACTAGGATTAAGTGCTGCAATTACTCTAGGAGAAGCACAGTTTTATTAAGCTATATACTTTTATATGTTGAGAGCATTGGTTAGATGTGAACATTTAAAACAGAATTTTTTGAATTACTCTTTCAGTTATTTCTTCAGATTTTAATGAACTGACAGCTTCAAGAATGGAAGTTGCCTAGACCTCTCTCAACTTCCATGAGACCCTGAAACCAGGTGTAAATGTGTATTTTCTCTACTGAGATTTAATGATCAGAAACTATTATGTCCATGGCATTTATATATTTACTCTAGACACACGTATTAAACATTTGCTATGTGCAAAGTTCTGTGTTATGTGCTGGTAGTAAAGAGGGAGAAAGGTTATAGCCCTGGCCTTGAAAGGGGAAATACACAAAAGAGCACCAGTTACACATATTAAAGTGCAGATGTTCTCTAGAAGATTAATCTGGCAAGAGTGTATAAGATGCGTGGGGTGGGGTGAAGACTGGATATAGGGATCCGGTTCAGACCTGTGATGGTGAGGGCCTGAACTCAATTGGAAGCAGTGGGAATGGAAAGAGGCATGAGATGTGAGCTACTTTAGAGAAAGTGTTGGTGGACATAGGCTCATTTTAGTAACGGGATAAAATATTCGACGATGACACCAAGGTTTCATGCCTTTTTTAACTTGGGGGAGGGTGGGAGCAGGACATGCTTCAGTGTATCCAGCTGCACTTAACCCCGCACCTCCACGGTCCGAGGCCTGATGCCTGCATCTCCATTATCTCACTCACTCTTAAAGGCCTCCGAATCCCAGAACCAAGAAAGCCTCAGATTCCCATTTCCTCCTGCCTTTGTAGTCAGTTAACTGTGTCTGTCTGTCTGCTACTCCCCCTTCTTCTGTCTGTTGGTGGTTCAGAACAACCCAGCCCTCTCCTCTCCATCACAAGGGAAGATTCCAAGAAGGCCTGTTTCTCCTGTTTCCAAATTTCCCTGTCGTGACTCGAACTTTGTAAAGAAACCTGTCATGGTTCTGAAGTCACAATGTCCTTCTGTCTTTCCTGTCTTTGGACCCCCTGAAGCCTTGTAAACACTGGTGCCCCAAACCAGGGAAGGGATAGGCCAAGTTTCCCCTCTGAGATGGGGTCACTGAGATGAGAGAGGGTAGAAGAGTGTACACTTGTCCATGGTTGCAGGGGAAGTCCAGCGATGGGAGGGATGCTGGAGGTTCTGAGCTCTGGTTCTTAATAGCGCCTGGAATGGAAGATATGGGCATGTATGAGGTGAAAGCTGCTGGGACAGAAGAGCTGAAGGTCCCATCCTGCTGGAGAGCTGGGAGCCAAGAGGAAAACTTAGTTAATTTCCCTGTTGAGGTCTAGAGCAGCATCAGCTGGGAGGCTGAGGCCAGGTTAAGTAGGTAGGCTTGGCTCAAGTGCTGTCTCATCCGTGACAATTTCCCTAGCCAGAGGCCTTCCTCTCTCCCTCTCCCTAACCTCCGGTCAGTTCTTATCCCCCTCTGTCCTGATTTATAGTCAGTGTATGACTATCTACTCCTGGCAAGGCACTTCCTTGAAAGCAGTGACTAGGCTTTGCCCCTCTGTCTCTTCCACCCTACCTGACCCCTTGCTTCACACATTCAGATTTGTTGAATTGCAGTAATGTCCTCTTTCTTAAGATCCAGTGGAGGTAGCTGGCTTCCAGACACCTAGTTGGTCTTGAAGGTGTACTTTTAGTATTTAAATTGCACCACTGACTAACTAGATAGCACTCAGAATGGCCCATCGTAGGTGGGAACTGACTCCAGACTCAAGTAGGGCCCTTGTTTGAATCCAGCCTGGAGAGAAGAATCAACGGCAGAAGAAGCTGGAGCTGGTACCAGCCACTTATGGCCTCTGCATATGGCTGGATACTTGCTGCTCCCTGCCAGACCTTTCTGCCCAGAGATCCCAATAGAGCAGGATTAAAGCTCTATTCTAGCACTACAGAGGTTCAACATCTAGGCAGGAGACGGACCTGGCTGTACTAGTCCAGAGAACCAGTTGTAGGTGCCTAACAGCCTTCCCCTGACTCTCTTCCTCCCCCCTGAAAAATCAGAAGATCCAGAGAAAACTTAAGATGGTGGGTTTCTCTGTAAGAAATTTAAATCCCACGAGAGAAACATTCACACCACACAGTTTTTGCACATGTGGGAATGTGTGTGTCTGGGTGTGGACTGTGTTGGCTGTGACAGGTTCAAGTGACAGCCCTGTGCTTGTGCTCTTGTTGTACCGTGTGGGTGATGAGTAGTCGGGAGGGTATTTTAGGATGAAGAGGAGTGTTTGGCATCACAGCATCTGTATGACAAGGGAGAATAATTTCAAACACGTTTCGGGGCCTCTTAATCCCATTTTTATGTCTTTATTTCATAAAGTAGTCTTAAGAAAGGAAAAGAAGGCAAACTCTGATATTTACTCTGCCTCTTCAACTATTTACCAACCCCTCAGAGACAGCTTGACTGTTCCCTTTCACCTTCTGGTGGAGAGAGGCTATTTTAATTAAGGTTATTGAGAGGCTACACAAAATACAATATAATGGCTCTGAACTCTGAGCTAAAAACAAACAAAAATAACCTTAAAGACAACTTTGTATGTAATGACTACTTCTCTCAGTTTGTGAGGACCCACACAAGGTAAGGCAAAGAGAATTTCAGGGAAACTTTTAACCCAAACCAATACGTTTATAGGGTGAAGAGTAGATTCGGATAGCAAATATTTAATTTGCAAATATCAGTTTCCAGCCTTCTCTAACTGAATCCCTATATGCATTTATAGTAGCTTACCTTTAACTTCTATACCCTCAGTGTTTGTTAAAGAAATACAACCCTTCCTTCTAATCACTAATCACGCATGAGGTTCAGCAGTAGCACAGCCACGGAGCTGGCACTCGCACCTGTCAGAGTCAGCAGAGTCCCCTACAAGCAGACACATCCTGTGACGTACATTTCCAGAAGAGCAAAAACTGTGTTCTCATAATGAAATGATTTGATTTGACCCAGTAAGAATATGCAGCCTTAGTAGGCTAAAAGCCAGTGACAGGAAATTCTGTGTAATTTAGAGGAAGATCCATTCTTTTTCAGATAACACCTAGCTAACTATTTCAGTTTCAGGATGATACTGTATATCAAGGCGAATAATTTTATTTTTTAAACCAGTTTGTACAAATCTTTACCTCCCACCAGCTGAATAAGCTTCTTTAATGGCATATTAGGCAGTTTAGAAAGTGCATTAAACCTTTAAAGCTCCAAGGTCACATGTAAGTAAGTTCATTTCCTGATGCCAGGCCTCAATTTTGAGCTTCAAGCCTTGGGGAGCAGCTTACTTGCATTGATGAGCATTTTGAATATAGGCCAAAAAAGAAAAAAACAAGCCCACAGGTCTCAGCTTTTAACAGTGTGTTTATCAGTCTACCTACATCCCAGGCGCAAGTTTCTGAAAGACCTGGAGCTAATGAGGTTGTAACTTTGTTCTCTCCTGCTCTTCACTCAAGGCATAATTCAATCCGAAGACAACTCAACCTGTCAAACCCAGACTTCAATATCCAACAGCTTCAAAAACAGGAACAGTTGACTGGAATTGGTCGAATTAAACCGGAGTTATATAAGCAGAGGTCACTGGATAATGAGGATGGGAAAAGGAGTAACAGCAAAGCCTGTGGGAAGCTGAACTTCATTTTAAAATATGACTGTGACTTAGAGCAACTCATAGTGAAGATTCACAAAGCTGTCAATTTGCCCGCCAAGGACTTTTCTGGGACTTCAGATCCTTATGTCAAGATCTATTTGCTTCCCGATCGGAAAACAAAACACCAGACTAAAGTTCACAGAAAGACCCTGAACCCTGTGTTTGATGAAGTGTTTTTGTTTCCGGTTCCCTACAATGACCTTGTAGCCCGGAAGCTTCACTTCTCTGTCTATGACTTTGACAGGTTCTCTCGCCATGACTTAATCGGCCAAGTGGTGGTGGATCACTTCTTAGACTTGGCTGATTTCCCCAGGGAGTGCATCCTTTGGAAGGATATCGAATATGTCACCAATGTAAGTCTAACATTTCTTCATTTTGGTTGGGGGAAGGGCGCTTCTCGGTCAGCATGCAAACAGATTACTTATACCTTATTTTATTTTATTTTGGGGGTGGCAGAGTATAAAATTTATCTCAATGTACTTAGAGCTGTTGCTTCAAACCTCCTTGTACCTTTCCAGAAACAAGCCTTTCACAATATTCATTTTGCAGTTTCTGAGAATTACTCATGGAAGCAATATTAATAACATTCTCCCTTTTCTACTTTCTAATTCTAAGCAATTCCCTAATAGGCATTAGACATTATCTGTCCTCCTTACCTCATTTTCTTTAGAGCTTTCTTAGGTTGTTTGTGCTAAGTGGATCCTGGCACCCTATTAACTGTTACCTGTAGCTGAGAGACCGTTGCCTTACTCGCTGAGAGCATTAAGCTCTTGCCATGTTCTCAGGTCAGCTCAGCAGCATTTCCCACGATCAGATCTTCAGCTTTAATCCCAGACGTGAGAATGATTGGGAAGAGTTGGCACCATATTTCTAAATACAGAATCAAAGTTACAAGGAGGTCCGTCTGAAAAGATCTACAGATATTGGCAAAACTAATCTATACAAGGTCAAATCCTACTTAGAGCTCAGGAGAGAGGGCAGAAGTGCTATGTAGTGTTGCCATATACCCATGTTTACATTTAAACACGATATCGCAGCAGTGATGTTTTTACTCCATTTGCATCCTTTTCACTGTCTGCAGAGGTGTATTGATGCTCCTGAAATAGAAAGGAAAATTGGACTATCTTAGGGGACTCTGATATTTTAAGGCCACTTGTTTCGTTTCCCTGTCCAGATTGGCTCAGGCAGCTTTGTTAGCTCATCTTCTGCGGGCGATATCGTTCTCTTTCTCTGTCTTGGCATCCAAGACAGCAAGCAGCATCATCCTTACTCTGCTCGGATGATGATCTAGCTTGAGTTTGGAGCCCATTTAGTGAAAGGCTCTCACTCTGCTCAGGAAGAAAACACACAAAATCTCTTCCCAGTGACCAAATACCCACACTGATACTCTCTCATCTCAGCCACTTTTGTGAACTGGGGACTCACATTCCAAGGGACACCTTCCCTTCACATCCTATGAGATACCAGTGCCAGCTTTGTCCTGCTACTCAGATAAGCAAAGTGGAACATGGAGTTTTGCTGGCCTTTATCATAATGATGAGGAAAGAAAAGAAGGAGCTGGAAAAGGTGCAGAGAACATCAGATGGTGAAACTAAGGTGATATGGGAGATAGGGGAAGGAACAGATCTCTTCAAACTTAAAAGGTTGTGATATCTGTAAACCCAAAAATGGATGCTATGGGTGGCAAGGATTGTATCCCAAATCCCAATTGCCAAAATCAGAAGGCAGCTTTAGAAGCTTTAAAGAAACAAAATGGGCAGGCTGCTGATATTAAGGGATGAATGGCTCAAGAATGAACTGTCTCACTGGAGTTCTTACCAAGTCCCCTGAGGTACTGCTGGCCAACGGTGATGAGTGTTGGTAGAGAGAGGTTGGTCATATCATCTAGTGTGTGACATCATTTTATATTTTTTGACTAATGGATTCCGTAAAATAATAGCTGGAGTGGTCATTAGAAATCTCAGCAGGGATCCTGCTGTGAGTTGCCTTCTAAAGACTTTGTGGAAAGAGTAACACTGAGTGCACAGTGGCTGATAAAAATCTGGATAAGGCTGATCCCTGGTGGGCAGGTCTCTTAGAGCTATTTCCCGTGGGATGAGAATATAGAATGACAGCCTGCAGAGACCTGTTGGCCCTGAGATCACTGCCATTGTAGCACTCTCCTGTGACTATGAGTTTTCCATCCAGTGATGGAGAATCATGGATTTCCACAGAGTTGAGGAGAATGTGAAATTATTTATCAAGGAGGAAAACCAATAAGGCTAAAAGCCTCGAAATTCTAAGTTGTTTCCTCAGGCAAACAATAAATATTCTGAGCATTGATCTAAGCCTTTGGATGGCTAGCAGGAGAAGGGAGGTCCTGGGAATGGAATTACATGTTGTTTCATAGTCTGCCGTTAAAAAAATAATTCCATTTAAAAATTGCTATTTGGGGCTGTTTGTGCTTTTTTGCATGTGACTTTGTACAGAGACTGAAAGTCTGAGATTTACCAAAGTTTCACTTTTATAATATAGCATATATGTCACACAGTGTATATGCTACACACGTACAGACTAATGAGGGAAATTAAAAGAGAAGTCACGACCCATCCCTCAGCTGAAGAGCAGACTACCGCCAAGTACTTTGCTGATGACCCCTGGGTTGTCCTCCCCTGTCACATTCTCTCAGCCCATTCCTGCCAAGAGGAAACCACTATCCTGAATTTTATTTGTAAGACAATGTATTGTTCAGTTTTGTCTGTTTCTGCTTTTCATAGCTCTTCTTTGACTTCTTTTTTTCAGTCCACGTTGATTTTGACATTTAGCAGTAGAGATGAGTGGAGCTCTGGTTCATGTATTTTCATTACTGTATAAAATTCCATTGTGTTATATACACAAATTAGCTCTCTTGTACTGATGATATTGGGTTGTGATTAGTTTTTTATGATTCTGAGTAATACTGCAGAGAACATTTTTATGCACATCTCCTGGTTCACAGATGCATTAATTTCTCTAGGGTGTAGCCCTGATAGAGGAAAAGTACACGTGTTCAAATTTTCTAGGCAATGCCGAGTTCGTTTTTCCACCGTGGCTGTACAAGATGACCCTCCCACTGTGAGGTATGACAGTTACTAATGCTCCACAGTCTCACCAACTCTCGCAGTTGCCGCATTGTTTAATATGTGTGCATGTGCATGCACGTAAAATGGAATGTGATTTGTATATTCTTGGCCACCAAGGTTAACCATCTTTTGATATGTTCATTGGTCATTCACATTTCCTTTCTTGCTAAATGTTTGTTCAGCACTTTTTCTTTTTTTTTTCTATAGTTTTCTTTTTCCTGTTGACTGATATATGTTCTTTATATAGTCTAGATGTAATCCTTTGTTGGTTATGTGTATTGCAAACATAGTCTCTTCATTTATAGCTGTCTTTATACTCACTTGATGATATTTTTGATCAATAGAGGTTCTTACGTTTAATGTAGTAAAATGGATCAATATTTTCTACTGTAACTTAGCACTTTTCTGTCTTGTTCAAGAAATCCTTTCTTACCCTATGTCATAAAGATATTTTTCCTATATTTTCTGTTAGAAGGTTAAAAGTTCTGGGGCTTCCCTGGTGGCGCAGTGGTTGAGAGTCCACCTGCCGATGCAGGGGACGTGGGTTCGTGCCCCGGTCTGGGAAGATCCCACATGCCGCGGAGCGGCTAGGCCCGTGAGCCATGGCCGCTGAGCCTGCGCGTCCGGAACCTGTGCTCCGCAACGGGAGAGGCCCGCGTACCGCAAAAAACCAAAACAAAACAAAACAAAGTTCCGCCTTTCCTAATTATAATTTTAGTCCACCCAGAATCCAATTACATTGTGAAATGTAATATAGGCATCCTGTATTAGCTTGGGCTGCCATAACCAAGTATATAGACTAGGTGGTTAAAGCACCAGGAATTTATTTCTCACAGTTCTGGAGGCTGAGAAGTCCAAGATCAAGGTGCTAGCAGATTCAGTTCCTAGTAAGAGCCTCCTTCCTGGCTTGCAGGTAGCTGCCTTCTTGATGTGTCCTCACATGGTGGAGAGACAGAGCTCTGGTCTCTCTTCTTCTTCTTCTTCTTGTAAGGACAATAATCTCATCATGGGGGCCTCACCCTCCTGATGTCATTTAAACCTAATTACCTCCCAGGGGACCCAAATACCATCACACTGGGGCTTAGGGCTTCAACATATGAATTTTGGAGGGGCACAAACATTCAGTCCATAAGACACCCATATTTCTTTTTCTATGTGGATAACCAGTTTTCTGGCATGTTTTCCCAATAATCTGCAGTGTATGCTCTGTCCTGTATAGGTCTCTATATATGAAGAGTCAGTTTCTGGATTCTCTTTTCTATCGATTTTTCTATTTGAGTATCTCTACCAATAGCACTTGTAAATTAGTATCATTCTATGATAAGCTTTAACATCTGGAAGAGAAAATTATCCAGCCTGCTTTTTCTTCAGTTCAGTCTTGGCTTTTACTTGACTTTTCTCATAAATGTTAGAATCAGATTGTCAAATTAAAATTTCTTTCTGGTGTTTGGACTTCTACGAAGTCTATAGATAAATTCAGGGAAATTTTACATCTTCTGTGATATTGAGTCTTTCTATTCATGGTCATAGTGCACGTCTCCATTTATTTAGTTCTCCTTTAAAGTCTTTCATTCAAGGCTTATAATTTTCTACATGAGGATGTCTTTCATGTATTTTGTTAGTTTTATTTCTAGGTATGTTATTTTTTGTTATTTTCAATAGTATCTTTTCTAAAATTGCATTTTCTATTGTTGCTATATAGTTATGCAGTTTAAATTTTATATATTTATCTTCTATTTGGCAATTTTTTAAACTTATTACTTATAATTTATAGATGCTTCTGAATTTTCTTTGTAGATAATCAGTCATGTGAGTTACGATAGTTTTGTTTGTTTTTTTATAGTCCGTATACCTTTTATTTTTAATTTAGTGCACAGACTAGGATTTCCCTTACAATGCTCAATAATAATTGTGGTACTAGTCATCCTTGACTTATTCCTTTTAAATGGAATGTCTTTAACATTTCCATTGAATATGATTTTGCTGCAGATGTATCATGGTTGTCTTATCATATTAAGAATGTATCCCTCTATTCCTAGTTGACTAAGCCTTTTATTAAATTGTAGTATAGTTGATTAACAGTATTGTGTTAGTTTCAGGTGTACAGCATAGTGATTCAGTTATTTTTTCTGATTATATTCCATTATAGGTGATTACAAGATATTGAATATAATTCCCTGTGCTATACAGTAAATCCTTGTTGCGTATCTGTTTTATGTATAATATTTGTATCTGTTAATTCCATACTCCTG